TAAAACTTGGTAGTCTTTTTTAAACTATAATTAGGGTTGTGATGCGTGCGAACTGCAATATAATCTGAATTAAGATTGAAGGGAGAGAAGATTAAACTATGGAGGAAGATAGTGAATGGTTGGTTTTCATTGGGGAGTGGTGGAGGGGATGAACACCCAATAATATTATTAAATATTACTATATGCATTTGTTTTCAAATTAATTTTCTATATATGTGTGTGTGTGTGTATGTTACTTACTTACTTTCTAAACCAATTAATTATTTTGGATCAGTTTGTTTTTAAAAAATCCCTACTATGCACTCCATTTTGGCCTTATGCACATTTTCCATTGTTTCTAATTTTTAGAATTAAATAAATTATAAGAGAATTAATGGACAAAAATAAAAATTAAAACATAAGAGAAACTTGGAGTCAAAATCACTGCCCTTGAAGCATCCTCTAGCTTGTGAGCTATCATGTAAGCGATCTCAAGATCACCTTAATTTTGAATGTACGTTTTAACTCAAGCTATTTAAAACAGATAGAATGACGCAAGAGATAGTGTAACTGTAGACTTGAGACTCAAACTTTCACATAGAATAGAAATGGTTGAAATAATGTACGTCAAGTGTACGATTCATAAAATAATATAAACAAATTATATCAATCCGTTACCCGAATACACTAAAGATTTAACATATATGTTATGAGTTTGAACAACCCAATAAGAACTCACTAATCTTGCATTAACCCATCCCTAAATAAGGGTCTAAATTTCAAATCCCTGGAAATTGCAATGAGCTTGACAAAGGAATGTTGCCCTAAAAATTGTAGGGTTAAAGCTCCCATAGTAAGCATCACTATAGAAAAACTCTTTAACTCGTGAAAGAAAAGAACTATATTGATGGAGCTAATATCATGGGAAAATTGGTCAAATCGGGACAAATTAACACTTGTTGTAGGGCCCAAAGAGTAGCTGATTCACGGAAAATGATCATCGTCAGATCCTTTTTCTGAGGTTCTAGGGATCTCGTGATCATGACCGTTCATCGTACATCATGCGGTCAGTTTTCATTAGGTACTATTTATATTTAATTTTAAATTTTAAAATTTGAAATGATTTCTAACTCCACGATGTACAGTAAAGGGTTACAATCACAAGATTCTTAGAATCCCCAAGAAAAAGATTATATAAATGTTTGCACAAACTTGGGTTAGATGGACCTAGTGTGCTTTTGGTCCTCTTGAGTAAAACTCTCATAACATACATGATGATACATTCTAATCCCCTACCATTTTTTTTGTATTTTTAGTGTTGGTGAATCATACTTACGAAAGCATCTTGAGTGTAATTCCTTTTGTGTCCTTTTATTGGATTTGTTTTCTTCTGAAATACTGAATTAAAGTGTTTTTCTCTTAAGAATAAAGTTTCCGTTTATACAAGAAACTATCAAACATTTGCTTCCTTAAAAGTATGTTGAAATATGTTAACTGAGAATTTGTCTCGATAAATATCAGACATCTTGGATAATGAATTGAAATCGCTAGAGTACTTGTGACATCATCAGGTTGATTGCGATCTTTGACCAAGCAATTAAACAATTAAACAAACTTAAGACATCATCAGGTTGATTGCGATCTTTGACTGAGCAATTAAACAATTCTCCGAGTCAACAATATATATAGTACAAACGTAACCACACTTGAGGTACATTAAACCAAAATCGATTAGTGGATGTGGATTAAGTTTAAGGGAAGTGATTTCCAATTTAAAAAAAATTGAAATTAGTTGTGGGGCTCAAACGACATCGAATTTTAACAATTTGAATTGTCTATTTTTTAAGTTGCATCTCGTAGATCATTCTTACAAAATATTCACCAATTGGAAATATTTGGAACATCTAATTGAGTTCAAAACATTGACGAACACTATGATATAAGAAGATTGAAATTTTATTGTGACAATTGAACGAGCAAATGATTTCGAATTGAATTGATTTTTTTGCAATGATGATCTATGAATCAAGATTTAAAACATAAACGGTTTGGATCGTAAAATTCAATGTGAAGGTAATCCCATAACTAACCCTCATTTTTTTTTCTTCCAAAAATAGAAATCCCTCTCCATAAGGGCCTGTATATACATAGGGGGTGTGCTATCCATACATCCCATTTTACTTCTCACACACCCCTTGATAATTTATGTCCGTTGATCTTCTTCAATTCATCCAATCCGACAGCCGGAAATTAAAAAGGTGTGTGGATATCACACCCCTATACATATATATGTTATGTTATATGTATGGATGTGTATGTATATGTAGATGAAAGAATTAAAACCTTGCCATTCGTTTTGTTGAAAAGAACAGAAAAAGACAAAGTGCAAGTGGCTTTGTGTCGCAGAAGGTGGATGTCTTTTTGCATATGTATACTCATCATCCAAGAATTCAGCCAGAAAATACTTAAAACTCCAAAGCATTTCCAAGAATATTTGTTATATTGTTCTTAATTTAACTAGTGTTCATTAAAAAATTGTTTGATTAGTCGGTCTCTTGGAGCAAAGTTTTTTTGACGTGAGATATTTCACACGCTCGCTCACGTATGATTATTGAGCTTTTATATGCAAACAAACATGTGCTGACGTCATGAAAAAAAATTTAAATTTGAAATCAATAGGTGATTGAGAAATTGCTCAACCGTTTACAAGCTGGCCGAAGTACAATTATTTTTGGGCTCTCAGAATAAAAAAGTAAATGAATTATGCAGAATTAAGGGCCTAATTACTACATTGATTAAGTGCTGATTCAAATCGGCTATCTCAGCCTACTTGGTCTACCAATTGGACGTCCTACTTTGTTCTACCAACTAGGCCCACCGGAGTTGATTCTCGCCGACGTATACTTACATCAGCGATAACCACCGGTTCGAGTTTCAAGCCAAAAAGAGTGCAGATAAGAAAACCGACCTGAAAAAGCTATATGAACGAAAGATAGAAACCGATAGATGCAATTTCTGGTCGCGGAAAAATGCACAGTAGAAGTAGCGTTTGACTAAGGAGACAAAGTTAAAACCAAAAACTACCTGAAGGCTAAGTTTATATAGCCACATGCGCTCAATCTTGACCATCCAAAAAGAAACAGTAAAATGACCAGATCATGACACGTGGAAACCAACTTATTTTGTTTTTAAAAAAGAAGGCGCGTGAAACAACTTCGCAGCTCACGCGATCACACCTGTTTATTGTGCTTTTAATAAAGAGACGTCTTGATTAAGCCACCAACCAACAAAGCACACGTATACTACATGCACTGTTCTCCCGACCGTTTCTACTTCTATCAAGGAGTTGGGTACCTAATGGAATTCCTACGAGCACTATAGAGTGAGAAAGATCCGAGCGCTAAAGAGGAAAGCAAAACCAGAGTGCTTTAAGAAAACGTATATTTCTCGTCAAGGCTCATAAACCAGGTATTATTTTAGGGTTGACTAGCCGTTACAACTCCATGCCCTAGAAGAAACCTCTAAACAAGGAGCGGGGGGACTTGTTAATGAGATGTCGTTTTAGACCCCTAAATTACTACAGGCCTAGAGAAGGCCCAATGAAAGCCCAAAGAAGATCCAAAGAAGCAGCTTCGAGCGCTATATACGACCACTCAATAGTCTGGTTTGACTATCGACAAAGAGGTCGAGTGCTATAGACGACCACTTAAACCTTGTTGGCAATCTTTTATAGTCTTTATCTCGAGCTCATCAAGTGCCGACCGTATTAATTTTTGTTGACCTTCCAATTTCAATTTTTAACAAGCTTTATTTATTGATTTATATATTGTCTCAAATTGCAATTGAAAAGCTATAACTACCCAAATAATATTCTTTTCAATGAGCGATCAACAAGAGAAAAATTACCTATAACTAAACTGCCACTTTGACGATATTTTTCACCAATCAAGTGAACTTATAAACATAAAACTAAAGAATGGTGCTATCGACACTCTTTTTTTTTACTTTCTACACTAATTTCAATTTCTGGTACTTGGATCAAAGGAATTGGAGAAGATCAAAGGAAAAAAAATAAGGGCAATGCGAGAGAGACCAAATTTTGTAAACCAAATGATGTGGTTGTTGATACTTGGATTATTACTCACATGTTGATTAACGTGCTTATTTCTGATTTGTAATATATCATTTGGTTTGCAAATTTAGTTTAAAATTTAGTATTCCTAACATTATACAAAAAATAAACAAAAAATGTATGGAAAGTACAAATAAATGTGCGAATAACACCACCCAAACTAATACACATGAAAATATTAATTGGATTAGTTTGAAATAAGTTGCAATGAGGTTAGACTTGTAGGTAAGTTGTTTCTACTTCAAGTACAGTATGAACCATGATAGTGGTAAACCTAATAAATGGAGAGAGATTGAGTTTGAGTTTTAAGATGTTGATAATTAAGTGGGGCATTAACACGTGGAGCTTAGTTACTCATAAACATATAACATGAGATTATAGAGAGATTTTTTAGCGTGTCAGAATAGTGAAATTGCTCGGTATATTTAGCGGGAAAGTAACTCAGCAGCACATCACCTTGCTCGAGTGGGAATTGGTAGTAATCAAGAGTTTGTATGGTTTGAAGAACCCTTGATTTGGTTAGGAATATTTTGTTCAAAGATGTGTCGTAAGTACCTATATTTTGTTATTTGAGAATATGTTATCTTGTTGTGCAATACACTATTTTCTCTTTGATCGGTTTGAATTTTTTATCTAGATCCATTGTGCAAACTATTCTCAATTTGTACATTTTCTGATTTGCTTAATGAAAATCATCGCTTCCTTCAAAAAGAAAAATGTCAAAAAATAATTAGTTATAAACTTAAAAAAGAACTTTAACTAATTGTATTAGACATTGGTGTATCTTACAATGTTCTGACATACCGAAAAATTTATCGAGATGATGAGAGAAATGAAAAAACAAATAAAACTTGGGAACGACACACAGTTTGCCTTCGAAGGCGTCAAAACTTCATTTCGTCCTTTTCCTTCCTATTATTTGGTATTATTCGGAGGAGAAGTCTCTCTATTCGGAGAGAGAGAGAGTTATCTGCAGACACAAAACAACATTTTTTTCGCTTGAGATTTCTCTCCATTAATTTCCCATCACCATTACCCACCTTTATTCAAGTACCGTTCTTTTGCTCTGCACCACCAGTCAGAGATTCAGAGACTCAGAGACTCAGAAACCAACTACATCCTCTGCTTCCATGGCCTGTTCAAATTTGCAGAACAAGTACCTCCTCAAAAAAAACAAAAATATTTATTTCTTGATTTATTCAAAATTATGAATTTCTGATTGGGTTTCTTTCAATTAGGCCTCAAATGAGTGGATTTCGGAACAAAAGATGAATCGGCGCGTCCCCGATTTCGAAATGGACTACGACTACTTACTTCCCACCACCTCTGCTCTGAACCGACCCAGAAAATCAACCATGTAAGTCTTTCCCCACTTGATTTATCCGATTTGGTTCGGTTCGGTTCGTTTAGCTCAAATTCGACCGCAGGCCGGAAGACGATATCATGGAGCTGCTATGGCAGAACGGCCAAGTCGTGATGCAGAGCCAGAACCAGAGGTCTTCAGTCAATAGTAAAAGATCGCACCAGTCCAAATACGACGTCGTATTGCCCGACGACGGGGGCGGCATCACCAGACCGACCCCCCAACCCCAACCCCAACCGCCGGCCCAGAACCAGCACCTGTTTATGCAAGACGATGAAATGGCCTCATGGCTTCAGTACCCTCTCGTCGACGACCCCTTCTCCGCCGGCCTCCTCTATCCCGATTCCAGCACCTCCGAGCACCGGACGCCCCAGGTTTCGGGGCCGGCGCCAGCTTCGAGGCCGCCGATCCACCGGCCGAGGAGGACCGAGCTCCAGAACTTCCTGCAGTCCGACAGGACCAACAACAACAGGCCTATGATGTCGGAAACGGCGCCGTCAAGCTCGAAGAAGAGCGTGGTAAGGGAGACAACGACGGTGGTGGATTCCAGCGACACTCCGCTGGTGGGCCCAAGCTCTAGGGCTTTGGATTCTAGGCCCGACGGCGCTTGTGGCGGCTTGGCTAATGGAGCGAGGTCGTTAACCGCTGCAACCGCTGCGACGTCGTTTCCTGGAAAAGAAGTGACCACGTGTGAGATGTCGCTGACGTCGTCTCCAGGAGGCTCCAGCGCGAGCGCTAGTGAGAGCACCGAGCCGGAGTCGGCTCCCAAGCTGCCGCTGACTGCCGATAACCGGAAGCGCCAGCGGAAAGGGAGAGAAGCCCCCGCCGCCGACGACACCGAGTTTCAAAGCAAGGTGAATCAGCACAATTTTGTTTTTACTAATTTTCATTTTCACGTTTTTTCATATAAAACAAACTTTAGTAATAAAATAGTTATTCAGAAATAATCGTTAATGATATAAAAAAAATTTCAATAACTAAAAATCGTTTGATCATCGTTAAAAAAAAATTTGAATTCAGCGAGCAATTTATTTCACTCTTTATAAGTTTTATTTTTAAAATTTGAATAAGTACATGCGATCAATTGCTAGTTACTTGGTAAGGGTAACATTTTCATAAAAATGTGAAATTTAATTAAATTAAATTTTAGTTTTCAGAAAATACAAACTGAATAGTAAATCCATTGTTCTCTTTCCCAATGTGTTTGTTGCCTGGGTATCTCGGCTAGGTTGCGCATGGCGCGGTGGTGCCGTAGGTAGGCGTGCGCACTACGCACCCACCTGCTGCCTCTCTCCTTCCTAGGTTATAACCCTATGTAAAGGCTAGAGTGTGCAGTTGTACGCCGTACACGTGGCATTTAGTAGGAGGGACATAACTTTTCTGACAATAAATTGAATGAGAGAATGAGAGATGTTTGCTAGATGACGTGCACGTGGCAGTGAAATCCTACTTGTAGTGTATAAATGGGTTCCACTGTAGGGGTGCAACGAGCCTGGATGATTAGGTTTACGGAAAATAATGAATTCATATCATCCCAGGTTCGTAGGATTTAATGTTACGTAGCATGAAAAATGTTCAGCATAAATTACCAACTAAACTGATTTATTTGAAGAAAATGATGGTGTGTAATACGTGGAAAATGATTGATTTATTTGTTTTGGACTAATGATTTATTATTCATCCTAGGTTTGCTCGACACTTTCACGAGACTTGTATCTTTGTCTTGTATTAACATTCATTTTTCCCTAATGCACACGTAGTTTATTTGGTGCGCATGGTGAAAAATAGTGTGCGCAAATCACTTTTGTTACTTCCTGAATTAATAGTGAAAAATAATGTGTGCAAATCACTTTAGTAGATGTAAAATTTGATTTACTTCCTGAATTAATAGAAAATATTTTTGGTACCTGAAACCAACGGGTTATTGATATTTCTGCAACAAGTATTTTATTGAGTAGCCACCAAATTGGTGATTGAGGAAAGTTGCTCGTAAAAGGGCATAACTTGGTGTATGGGCATTGACAGATATTAGAGTCAGATGATAATTGGTTGTTTAAATTTGTTGATCTCTTGTTAATTGTTATTAGCCAATACCGATATAGAAATTTAGCGATGGTTTGATGGAAAGTTTGAATTTTTAGTTTTGGATTATCTTTGTTGATTTGGTCTAGACTCTAGAGTTGATGTACTTGCGCTACAATGCCATGCATAATTCAGTTGGTGGGATTGGTGAGGGCGTTTATCATGGACGGAGCCAATGAAAGCTCACTGGGGGCATATAGTGCTCTTGTTCTGTCATTCAAACCGAAAAAACCCTCTCCCGCCTATCACGTACTTATATTTTTCTCATCACTTTGCCACTTTCCACTACTATATTGAAATTTTTGTAACATTGGAATTGTGATACATCGTCATTTGAAACCATCCTTGATATCATATTGCGTATAACCATACTATAATAAGGTTTTCTTAGTTGTTTTCGGTTGCCCCCACTAGAAGAAATTTCTGGCTCCGTCCCAGGCGTTCATGTTTGTAGCTTTGAGCATTAGAGTCCATCAAGACGATGATAGTTCCTATACTTGCAATTTATACCTGTGTCTTTAATATCCTTTATGTTATTTACTATTGGATTCTGGAAAATAATTGCTCTTTTTCTTTCCTTTGTTTAAAAAGGATGTCGAGTTTGAATCTGGCAATGGAAAGAAACAGGTCCGAGGATCGACATCATCTACAAAGAGATCGCGAGCTGCAGAGGTCCACAATCTCTCCGAGAGGGTCTGTACAGACTATAAATCTGTTGACGATCAAAACTGGTTTTTCATTTCCTTCTTCATGTGCGGTTATTTTTCTTCAAAATGGGGCTAAATGTAGAACTCTGTGCAGAGACGTCGAGATAGAATAAATGAAAAGATGAAGGCTTTACAAGAACTAATACCTCGATGCAACAAGGTTTGTCACTAATACAATCTGTCACTGGAATTTTGAAAGAATTTTGAATTGCTTTCTCCATTAGATGTTAAGTATGTTTTATTTAATCACTTTTATTCTGTATGACCAGTCGGACAAAGCATCAATGCTGGATGAAGCAATTGTGTACTTGAAATCTCTCCAGTTACAAGTACAGGTATGCTCGTTTCTTGTTTCCAAATGCTATATATGTCTTATCATACTTTTACGGTGGAAGAAATCTTAAGCAAAATTCTGGGAAATTGGATATATACATCCTTGGAAAATGATTTTTTTTTTTTTTTTTGTCAAGTTATTTTAGCAGTCTAATCTTTAACGAAAAGAGAAGAAGATTAAAACAGTGACAAATTAACGGAACATCAATCTTTTGTCAACAAAACAGTGAACTTTCTTAGAAAATAAGAATTAGGAAAGACCAGATAGCAACATTATTTGTAAGTGTTTGTGCATTGTTTATGTCAACATTAGATTGTAACCAATCTCTGCAGATGATGTCCATGGGATACGGCATGATCCCTATGATGTTTCCTGGAGTTCAGCAGATGATGTCCGTGCCCATGGGGATGGGAATTGGAATGGGCATGGGCATGGGAATGGAAATGGCCGGCATCAGTCGCCCAATGATGCCATTTCCAAATGTAATAGCCGGTTCACCCATGCCAACAGCAGCTGCTGCACATATGGGACCTAGGTTCCCTATACCACCATTTCACATGCAGCCTATTCCTGCAAGTGATCCTACCGGAGTTCCAGCAGTCAACCAGACAGATCAAATGATAAACTCGCTCGGGGCACAAAATCCAAACCAATCACACATGCCAAATTTTGCAGATCCTTACCAGCAGTTTTTCAGTCCCCAACAGATGCAGTTGCCACTGCAGCACGTATGGTTGCTTCGAATATGAAATCTCAATCACAAATTTGTCTTCACATAAAACTACCTGTAATGTTTACTATTTCGTCTTCTTTTACAGAAGCAAGCAATGCCCCAGCCAACTACTGGCAAGCCGAGTTCCAATAGGAGACCTGAAACTCATGAAAACCATCAATCAGGTGAATGTCTGTTAACCTTTTATTTTATTTAGTCCAAATCATGATTTTAGGTGACATTCCACTAGATTGTTGTAGCTTCAGTTGTCCCAATATAAGTCTATAGGTTTACTAATTGTTGCATTATAAGGACAATAGCTTAATTCGGTCAAAATTTTCGACAAAATTTGCACATTAGTGACATATTTAGGGTAAACCGGTCTTAAGCGTTAAAAGCGCCACACACATGCTTCGTATATCTCGTATAATTACCAAATTCGTTTGGAAGATGGTAATAACCAGCGCTGTAACTTTTTGTGCATTGCAGGTTAAAGTTATAGGTTGAAGTTGAAGAGTAGATGGATAACAGAAGGTTCATATACCTGCTAAGTTTTGTAGTCTAAAGCTCTGAGAGTAGCTTTTCTTTTTCTGCTCTCTTTTTTTTTTTTAGGCTAAACTGCCATATAACTAAAAGCTAACCTGTAACTATTACAACCCCAATTGTAATATATTTTACCAGTTTCCGATTTTGTCGCCGTCGGAACTGTAAAACTGTAGAGTGTCAACAAGTTTATTAGTCAGTGAGGTGACAGAGTTGATGGGTTCTGACGGAAAATCCTAGAATGAACTGGCTCGTGTCATGATCCAGAACTCTTAGCTGTTGGATTCTTGGACAGTCTCTTTGACTAAACATCAGACGGCTAAGGATCTTCTTGGAACATGACACGAGGCAGTCCATTCTGAAAGACATGGAAGAAGATGGTGATACTTTGGTATCGTTTTCTGCTTTCATATGATTTTGCAGAAGCACGAAAAGATAAACAAAAAGGCGTATTTGCCCATGTCTCGTGACCAAATCACAAACCTGGTCAAGTGCGCTATTGGAAAGTGAGATGTATTTCTGGTTGTATGCGGGATTCCCCCGACAAAGTCATCAGACATTGAGATATGCTTGATCAGCAAAAGATGAGGGCACATAAAATTACATATACAAAACAAATATATCGGGATTGTATTCGTTGTAGTTTTCTCCAGACAGGAGGATTGATAGCCAAACATATAAACTCGGAGAGAAATTTATATTCTGACACTAACTTGTTTATATGTATAAGTGTTTTTCTTCAACTTACATTGGCGATTGCAAATTAATCTTTCCATGGTTTCAACTTTGAACCCGATTACAAAATTCTTCGGCCAACGAAGGGCTTGAAACTAGAGGAAGAAGATCAAGATGACAGCATAATATTTTCATGTGTTTGCATTTGCTGAAGACGAAGATGTCTCGATGGTAGATAGGATCTGACGACAGAAATCCAAACAATAGGTTATTCATGTGAACTGTCAATGGTCGTGTAGCCACCCAATACATTTCATAAATGTACAATACGAGGAGAATATTAGAGGGAATCACCTTGTCAGTAAATACGCGAAACGCGTCCACGCCCATAGCTTTCTCAAGTTCCTGATTGTAGTATACATCACAATTAGCAAACAGTGTTCTCCATTTTAGTCGGGGGCAGTCTGGTTTCAGAACGAGTATCACGTCTACATAAAAAATATTCGATAAAGAAAAGACTTCGGTGTCTCGATTGAAGTAAATGTTACTACTCACCTTCTCTGCATCTGGAGAACAATCTATACTCAAAATGAGTTTCCGAAGGTTCTCATCTTTCAAAGCACTGTGAATTTCACTGGAAGAAGCTGCGATTAAAAAACGAAGTGAGGGCTTGATAATAGGGGGAGTATTCTCATCAGCCATGAATTTAACAATAAAATTTTCAGACAAGTTGCCAAAACTCAACAATTTCTTCATACATATATAACCAATCCTTCAACCAGAGGTCTAAAGCGAAAAAACAAGGAGATGCGGGATGGGTTTCTGGAGCCAAATCACGTAGGACAACTCTGATCCAGAGTTAACTGCAGAACATTAAAATGGTGCCCCTGGCCACTTATAATCGTTTGTTGTCTACACTAAATTAAACTAAACTACTGAGCTGACGGATTCACTAAAGAGAACCATCATAAGTCAACACATGGACAAATACCTCAAACGCCTGAAAAACGAGCCTTAAAGATTGTGAGGGAAAGGCAATTGCAGAATGACGGAAAGAAACAGAAAAGTGGTTACCAGATACAGTAACACGATGAACTCGTTCAGCATAAAGACCATAAACCCTGGCTTCACTTATGCCCAACCTAGTTGCAGAAACCATCCTGCAGGTTGTTCATCCTCTTATTGGTCTCTACCGATAAAACAACCTTTTGTTCTAGATTTGGCTTCAAACCAACCTCTTTCATTCTCCTAATTCACACCTTTAGAAAAAAGTAATTTGAATAAAGTTTTACAAGTCGGAACCTAGGTCTAGTATGCACCATAAGCAAGTCAACTTCTCCAAAAAGGTGAAGGGTTAATCCTCCTATTTCAATGTTCATCATTCTCGCCACCATCCCACTTTCTAGTCATTGCTCCCCTCCCTAATTACATACCCATGGATTGCAATTTCCAGCAATCCCAATAGCACATCTTATGTAAATGAGTAAAGAAACTCTAATGCATTTCCAAGCTAGTTATGAATCCTACCTATCGCCTCGAGTTGCGGCCCTTGCAGCACTTGGCTCGGTTCCTCCACAAGTAATGGCCTCTCTACCAGTAGCTCTGGAGCTGCAGCCGAACAGTAAGAAATAAACAAGAACGAAAATAATCAGAATCCGCAAAGCACACAAGTCTCTTGAAAATCAGTGCATATGAAAGCAGTTTAATTAGGCTCAAATCAGAGTGCAAAAATTCTTACTTGGTGGTTTTTCCTCGGAAGAAACTGGAAGAGCGCATGGGTTTTCTGCAATTTTCATAAGTAAGCTCAAAATTAAGCCCCAGATAATCATCAAATTAAGAAATTAAATAGATTTTGAAATTTAGGATCATCGTACCCTTGTGCTTCTTGAAGCAGGGCACAGAACAACTGCAAGAAAAAAGTTTCGATTTTTTTTTTTTTTTTTTATAAATTATTTTATGCGAAAATAATGAGATAGCAGTCAGAAAGAATCGAAAGGAAAGGTAGCTTACTAAGGTGCGCGGCAGGAGGGGCACTTGTATTTGGATTGTGCTTCGTTGCAGACTTGGCACACTACTCGAGGACCCATTTCAAGGAAAGTTTCTGAGAAAATTACTTTCTGAGGAGCCAAACAGAAGCTAACGTGACAAAAACCCTAAACCCTTTTGTAACCTTAAAGTTAGGTTTTTTTTTTTTTTTTTTTGGTAGGAAATTTTCATCTTCTTTGATTGCAAAGACGTGGTCGAGTTAAATAAAGTTCCACTGTGTTTTTTATTTTTTTGGTAAACTGAATATTCATAGCCAGGGTAAAGATGCCAACATCAAATAGAGGGCCACCAACAAAGCAAGTAACAAGCAAAACACAAATAATCGAGCAGTGCAGGGGGTTACAAGAGAGACAGACGTCGCACCATGTGCAAAGGCGTCGCCTCCTACACTGCCAAACACAACTTAAGGAGGGCACGGTAAACCATCATTGTTAAGTACATAAACCAAAGAAGAAGGAGGTCGATTGATCTATGAAAGATCACTCATCTCCTGAGATCTCGTTGATGCTAACAGGTTTGCTGTCTGATTGGTTGATATTGGAGTCCAAGACCAACGAAAGTCATGGAAGGAAGCCCCAAGGTTTTTGACTTTCGCCAGAATGGGATAAGCTTTCCAGCTGCCATTCTCCAACGAGTCATCCAAGCATGAAATAGACTCGAGAGAATCAGATTCCAAAATAATCTTTCTGTAGCCCAGCAAGATGTCCAGATTGCAACCATGCAGAAGTGCCATGGCCTCAGCTTGAGCCGCCCACCGAGCCACAATTTCCTGCCTTCAAGCCATTAAAAACTTGCCTTCCTTGTCTCGAACAACAATCCCCACAAACCCCGAATCGCTGAAAGATACCCAACTTGCATCCACATTGATTTTAATGAAAGGGAAGATCGGCGAGGTCTAACTAATTACCTCATGAATGCCAGCAGAGCTTGCGGCAAGTTGATTCCCACTAACATGCTTCGCCTCAAGAAAAGCACCCACAACATTAGGGATGGCAAGAAAGACCTGAGAAGGGTTGATATCGCAATGGTTGAAGATGAGGTTGCATCTTGCCTTCCAAATATGCCAACACATGAAGGCAACTAGAGTGAGCATCCAATCCTTATCCTGGTGTGCCCATCGACCCGAGTTGATGAACGACTCTAACCATTGCGGCCATGAAACGATGTCGTCCCTATCAACCCTATAGTTTAGCGGTCCTTTAAACCAAATTGCTTCCACCCAAGGACATTGAAGGAAAATATGTTCAATAGATTTATCATCGTTTTGGCAAATAGGACATGTCGGGGAATGGGAAGATTTCTCTTGAAGAGATCAACCATCGTGGTAAGGGCCCTATGTATTGATTTCCACATGAAATTCTGGAGTTTTGGAGGAGAGTTCAGCCTCTAAATAACCTTTTAAACTTACTCTATGGAGTGCCTGATGTAGGGTGGACGCTGACCCTCACGATTGTGAGCCCTCAAGTGTGCCCAGTGGTACCCCGACTTCACCGAATATCTTCCCCATTTGTCAAAGGGCTAGACCAGTCTATCCTTTTTGGAAGTGTCCCTTATCACCATATCATGAATTGCGTTCAGCTCCTACATAGATAAAAAGGGCATTAGAAAGTCGGTATCCTAAGATCTTGAGTCTGCATATATTAGGGACTCGACTCTAATGTTCCATGACACTGCCACATCACCCCTCGACATAGGATGTCCCACGGGAATGGAAGGGATCCATCTATCAATCCATAAGCACAAATCCATTCCTCCCATTATTTACGAATGCGCGCCTTTAATCAGGAGATCCCGTCCCACCAATAGGCTTGACCAAACCCACGACGCACGGCTACCCCTATTCGCATCAAGAAATGAGCAATGAGGAAAATACCTGGCCTTTAAGACTCTAGCCCAAAAGGACAAGGGGTCATGGATGAGGCGTTAACACTGTTTAGCTAGGAGAACATCGTTGAAATCCTAAAAATTCCTAAATCCTATGCCTCCCATACTCTTCGGTAGGCCAAGAGTTTCCTTTGCCACCTAATATATTTTCCTTTCCCCACATTTTTGCTCCCACCAAAACCCCGAAATAAGAGTATCCATCTCGTTACACACCACCGCAAGAAATTTGAATAAATTCACCGGATAGGCCGGGATAGCTTGTATCACTGCCTTAATCATAACCTCATTTCCCGCCTGTGAGAACATGCAATGCTTCCACCTTTGAATTTCCCCATGATTCTACCTTTCGCATAGGCCAACCTCTGTCTTTTTTATCGCCCCCAAATGGCAGGGACCTTGAGATAGATACTAGGATCATTGGCAGTCAACATCCTGAGGATATCCCTCAATTCCACCGAAGTATCCGTAGGGATGTTGGCACAAAAAAATACACTAGATTTCTGAAGATTAAATGCCTGCCCAAATGTCGAGCAGTACTCACCCAATAATTGAACAAGATTAGTAAAATTCTTCTTATCAACCTTCAGAAAGATCAAAGTGTCGTCAACAAAAAATAGATGCGAGATTACTAGGCCATTAGGGTTCATCTTCACACCATCCAAGTACCTCCTATCCACTGCCGACTAAATTATACATGACAAAACCTCACTCACCAGTAGGAATAAGTATGGGGATAAAGGGTCCCCTTGTCGAAGACTGAGAGATGGAACAAACTTCTCCCTTGGTTGACCATTAAGAATGACTGTAATGCAAACTGTGCTAACACAGCCCATAACAATCTTCCGTCATGTAGTACAAAACCCCATCTTTTCCATAATTGCATCCAGGAAGTCCCACTTCACCCGATTATAGGCTTTGTGCATGTCAAGCTTGACGCCAAGTTCGAACTTGCCTTTTGCTTTCCTGACTCATGTGCAATCCCAATACTATCATGTATTTGTCTGCTCGCCACAAAAGCATTTTGCATGGGGGAAATGAGGTTCTGCAAAATGGGCTTCAACCTGTTCGAAAACACCTTTGATAGGACTTTATAGGAATAATTGCATAGACTGATCGAACGGAATTGCGAAATTGTCTCCGAGTTATGTACTTTTGGAATCAACACAAGGTGGGTGGAATTGATACGGCGAGGGCATCCGTTCTCGGACACCAAAGCTTTGACCAAGTCGTTAACTTCGGCTACGATATTTTCCCAAAAAGTATGATAAAATACACCTTGAAAATCGTCTGATCTCGGAGCCTTAAGACTCTCCATTAGGTGTGCCGCTACTTTGATCTCCTTCACCGTGACCTTAGAAGTAAGAGATCCATTCATATCCATTGTGACATTCGGGGGAATACAGTCCAAAATTGATCCCCACTCCCTATGCCCAAAGGTTTTGAAGAGGTTCATAAAGTGGTTTTCAAATAAGCTTCAGACCTTCCCCGGGCTGTCCTCCCAATTACCATTCTCCTGCTTGATCTTCAACATTTTGTTTCTCATTCGCCCTTGAGGAGTAGATTGGTGAAAAAACTTGGTGTTGGCGTCACCCTCCCGGAGCCAATTAACCCGGGATCTCTGTTGCCAAAAACTCTCATCCTGCTTCTATAACTTATCAACCCTTTTTGACAAATCCTTTATTTGATTGACATTCCCCTTCCCCCCCTTCCCCCAACCTTTGCTACAAATCATCCAGCAAGGCTAGGAGCTCACCAATTTGCTTGTCCCTCATTTTAAATTTCTTCCTACTCCATTGGATTAATTTTTTGACCAGCACACATTAATCCTCTTATGCCACTTGTCAATCGCATTCCCCTCGCAAGGTCCACGCCAACAGGATCTAACCAACTCTCTGCAATCTTCCTCATTGGCCCAAAAGGCTTCAAACCAGAATTGATTCTTTCCCCTTTTAATGCCAGGCTCACATTGGATGATAATTGGGCAATGGTCAGAGCCCATTACCGTAGCATGGATGACAAGAGTATTTGGCCACAACTCCTGCTAGTAAAAATTGAGAAGACCCTTATCAATGCGTTCCTCAATAAGATCACCATTACAGATACATCTCCAAGTGAAAGCCGACCCACATCCATCAACCTCGTGCAGTTCATGAAGTTCGCCAAGTATCTAGGTCGATTATAGAGCATCTGTGTCCCTCCCCCCGGAGGACTTTTCAAAATCCCAAATAAATTCATTAAAGTCCCCACCACGCAGCCAGGGGAAAAAAGAAGGGGTAAAGTGGGAATTTACCCATCCATCCCCAAAACTCCTCTTTCCCAGCTCGATACAAAGTCCCGTAGACCCCAGTAAACTTCCCCTAATTTTGCTCCCCCACTTTTCTAGCCCATGTATCAATAATGTTTTTTAAAAAGTGATTTGAACTTCCAAATAGTCATCCCACCATAAGCTTAACCTACCAACTTTTCCAATCGAAGCAACATTAAAGCCATCCAAAAAACCTATACGACGTCTTACCCCATCAATTCTACGATCTTTCATCTTAGTTTTAGAGAGAAAGATCATAAAGGGCCTATACTTTCTTATCACCCCATGCAGGGCTCGAATTACCGTGTTCGACCCAAGACCACGACAGTTCCAAAAAAGGTAAGTCATGGTGAACTTGCGGCTGTTGAAGGCCAACCGCCTCTACCTTGGCAAGATTTTCCCGCTCTTATCGCTAATAGTGCACTCCTTTCTTTCTCTGAAACCTCATCCATGTTGCTCCACATATCCTGGTATTCAACTGGGACTTCCTGGAGTTCCTTTTCTGCATATATAGCTCTCTTCATCATCAGGCATCTTTCCTTAATACTCATTTTCCGAAGCCTTTCAACAACTTTCCCTTTTCAAATGGCAATCTGTGGCCTCAAGGCCGTTGCCTTGCTCTAACTCCTTGTCATGTGTCTCAACCTGAGCCGCCAAAAAGGACATCCAATGTTGTAAGCTACTCTATGTCTTTGCCCATCCCCATGCTTAACTGTGGAAGCAGTTGACTGATTGTCAAGCCGGGATCCTCCCCTTTTGTTTGAGTGTCACTCTTAACTGGCATTTCCTGAATCGTGACTAAAAGGTTTGTTCCCCTGCCTTGACTGTACTCCTAGGATATGTGGATGAGAATAGCTCAATGGCCCATATCCCATGAGCATGTGGTGGGTAAAACTAAGAGAAACTCCAGCCATAAGCCATTGTATAGGATTGTTCCCTATCCCCATCCTTCTACTTTCT